TGAAAGCATTAATAGATGATGATTTTTGCTCCCAGAAATTTCGGAAGACACTAAAGCAGTTTTTTTAAGGCTTCTAAAAGGAAAGAAGTCATAGAGTAACTTAGTAAGGGTCATTACCTTCCTCTGAGCGCTCTCCTTCAAAAACTCGTTGCAGCAGAATCTGTGAAATTCAGATAAATAATTTAGCCAGTTTAGGTAAAATAAACTTCGAAACTTCATCAAATCAACGAGTTGTTAAATGGTGCTTAGTTGCGGCTCACTTCAGAGCATAACGAGTCTAATGATGGCTTAAGCGCTGCTACCGGCGGGGAGGTCGCAACTAACCAACGAAGTAACCGTTATTGCACTACTGTCTTAGCGACAAACATTAATCTCACTTTAAAGGCAATAAAACCATATAAATAGGCTTAGATATGCACAAAAGATATTGAAACCCTTATCAAAAGCACTGCACGTCAATTTAACTGTCAAAATGTTTAAATTTCGGCAATAAAATCAATTTCAAAAACAAATCTGAATAAAAATAGCAAAATGAAGAGAAACAAAGATTTATGGTAAGTGTCGGCGAACTCGACCAGCAGTCCGCAAGCGCCAACTAAGCTCATTGAAGAGTTTCAAATGCTCTCCCGTGACAGTTTTCCTTTCATTTGATTTTTCTGATTTTTGCTCGTCACTTTTTTGCACAAACTATTTTGTTGTTGTTTCTTGTATGTGTGTATGTACATATATTTCAACGGTGTCAGTTGTGATGTTGGCCATTTGTTTTAACTGAAATGAATCGTGCACCGCAGTCTCAGTTGACACTGCGGGTAGTACATTTGCTGGCGTTATTGGTGGTGAAATGCAAAAACAAAAGCAAAAACATGTACATGCCTTTGAGAAAAAAAAATCACAAAGTATTGAAATCCAATTGGGTTTTATTTCACTCAAACGACGACGATAACTTTATCTACGCGAAAAATCCACCAGCAAAGAATCATCAACTAGCCAGCCCGGCGTTGTTGCCCACTCGAGCCTGTCTCGGGTTGCCAGTTATCTGGCACTAACGCTGCGGCAGGAAGCTTTGCGGTACACCGTCATTAGTAGTCCCATGTGCCACTTCAATGGCTCAACACGCTGTTTTTTTATTTCCTCTCCATTTTATTTTCGTATTTTTTTACGCACATCAAAAAGTGTTGTTGGTATTGTGCTATCTCCACGTCGAGCTTTTAGCTGAAATTTAAGGCGTCGCGTGCAGTAATCAAGTTCGTAAATTTTTATCATGCGTTATTTTGATATATGATCTGGGTAAATAGTAATTTCTTTTTTGGTTTCATCAGTCGGTGCTGACGTTTGTGAGTGAATGAAATTTTACAAAATTTTCTGGCATTTTAAATAGATGTGTTGCGTGGCATCCTTTTAGCAAGATAAGTGACAATAAGAATTACTTTGTGTAAAGCTTTCTAAACAGACGAATATTAACGAAATTTTCATATCATTGCTGTCGGAAAGTTACTGGCATTTAATGTTGTTAATATTCGCAACTTATATGTTTTATGGTTAGAGCTAACCTCAAAAAAAATACGTATACTTCACAACTGCCGGAAATGTCAGCTTCGATCGTTGATATCTAAAACATACTGTTACTGTAGAAAACTTCAGTAAATGATTTTGCATGACCTTAAAGGAAGTTTACCGAGCTATGTAGCAGATCTAAAAATATCAGGAGATAAGTTAGGAGTTATATATGTAACTCCTGTGCAAAGTGGGTGACGCCGAAGTTCACAAACGACCGACCCTAACACAAATCAAAGAAAACAATTATAAAATTGCAATAAGGTAACATCGTATTGTTGTCATATCTAGCGTATTCTCCGGAAATAATCTGCCATAACTTTTTCGTGTTCCTCTGATCACGTAACCTTAATTCGACTTGAAGGTTGTTTATGGCAAATAACGTGGATAGATAGAAGTAGCAAAACATTTCTGTTTGGATGCAAACCGTTGAACGATTACGGTTTTAGATTTAGTTATACGCGTACATATAGTTGCTATAAGAAATATAATAGATATGTGGAAGGGCTATTACATCTTCAGTACAGCAGATGTTAACGTTATTTTGTCTATCAAAAAATGCAACATGGAACATCATATATGAACAGGTGATAGAAGAAGAAATAAATTGAGGACCTAAGCTCTATTGTGCCTTTCCTTCTGTCACAACTAATCACAAAGGCCCAGCACACTGTTAAATTCCAGTAACCAGATAGGTGCTATTGAGGCGATATGATACCTATTCGGATACAAATGTAGATCCAAGGGTTTTGATTCGGCGTCTACAGACTCTCAAGAATTTCCGGCTCCATGTTGCAAAACTGACCGTTTGCACAAGAGGCTATGCCCATGTTAAACAAGTGCTTCTTGAGCCTACAGTGCTAAGTGCTTCTTGAACCCAGTGTAGTATGCGATAAGTAGTCAGAATTTGTCTCTCGGTAGGTTGGTCTTAGGCAGGTTGTAACCATCGATTAGCAACTTTGCCTGGCGCATACCTGTGGGTTTCTAGCAATACTTTTCCCTGATCACGCTCTCCTCCTAGTAGGAGGTTAAGCATAGAGTTATTCCATTCAGCTTTACTGCCGAGAATAACTTTAAACTTCCTTGTGAAGTTTATTCCTATGGTAACGATGCCGCTCGGGAGAAAAGTCTTTGTTGGAGCGGTATTACCTTAACTCTGCCTTAGCCTTCTGCCGTGCTTTGAAGCGTTGTATGGCAAACATTCGCAGTTTCGATAATTGAAGCTCTACCGAAATCTGTGATGCTTTTGTTATTACATATGTAAGAAACGTCTCACGATCATGGTCTACATCCACCTGATAATCCTTGGCTTGCATCCCCAGGATTTACCGGCCAGGCGATTGCACACCATGAGTGCTTTTGTGAATTTCACCATAGTTAGACAACAAGCTACTGCCACCAAAGAGTAAAATCCTAACTGAGACTCAGCCTGATTAAATATCTCTAAAAGGTTAAGGTTCCTAGGCGCGACACAGACCTTCTCTTGGTAAGCACACAGAATGATACTATGAGCTAACTAGGTTTTTGAAAAGTAAGGTTATGCTTTCGACTAACAAAATCGTCTCTCGACAAGCAATAGTTAAAGTTTCCCATAATGCTTGGCTTTATGCATACATACATATCTCTTCGGTTTGTCGATGAAAATTGTTGAGAAAACTCTTCAAACCTGCGAATGAAAACTGATGAGAACCTCCAGGCGTTACACTGATACCGACTAAAGTAGAAAAATGAGCTTTACAAACATTGTGAGGTGTCTTTTGTAGCGAACGTATTCAGGATCCGAAACGATCAGTTCGTTAAATATTAACGAAGCTGAAATAAGAGTATGATTTTGGAGAGGAATCATATTTTATCCTGAAATCAAATTCTTAAGTTTAGCAGTAAATGCCAGCAATAGAATTTCACAGAAGAAGCTTTACTTATATGAAGATAGAGAATGCTCTACCTCGTAACAGATCTTTGTCAGTAGAACTACTTCGACTTGAAAGTAGTTTCAGAAGTAGCAGGAACCACCTTTTAATATTGATATCGAAATGGTTACTACTACATATTCGTGAAAAGTGCCCGCACCAACAGCCACAGTTATACCATGAATGTGTGCTGTCAAGCTGCTCATTTTATCTTGGCAGGATTATGCATATTTAATTGGCCACCCAAAAGACACAGAAATGTGAGCACATTTTTATATTTCGTTCTTTTTTGTTTCTCTCTTTATGCTTAGCCTTGTTGCAGTTTGGCTTTCATTTTCATTGGAATTAAAAGGAAAAATGTTGGAAATTCTCAGCATGTCCTTGTCAGCATAATTTCACTTACACCCATCACATAGAAATTTATACTCGTACGAAGTAGAAGTGACATAAAATACCTTTGCTAGTTGAAGGACAAGGCAAGCCAAACGCAAACCAAATTGTTCCTAGAATTCATTACAAATTTCTATGTGCAAGCAGTATTTTAAGTCACTTTAAGCTAGAATATTTGCTATTTACGTAAAGAAAAAAGAATTTTAAAATTAGTTTTCCCATTTAATAGATAAATAAACATAATGAACATTTATAGAATTTAACGTACTTTAAAAATCGGATTCCTGTGATACCGTGGCCGATCTCAAGGAGAACCTTCGAAAAAAGATGACTGTCGGTAAGGAAGATTTTTCTGCTTAAAATTACCTTAAAACCAAAAATTAAAAGTTTTTATTATTATTACTCTATAGATGAGTACAGGTAATGATAGTATGACTTTTCAAAATTTTTCTTCGAAAGAAAAATGTCGTTTTATGTGAAAAAATTTAGCTTTCAGAGCGGGTTGAAAAATCGAATTTATTATTTAAAAGCTCATTTCTTCGATCAATACCTGACACATATATCTAAGAAGGTCGTTTAAAAATTTCAAATCGAACCAATTTTCCTTACCGACTCTGAAAACAGCGTTTCGTGGAAAACCTGTTTAATGCTTTATAAGCGCTTAGCCGAAATTAAAAAACTCAATATCAACAAATACGCTCATATATCCAAAACTTTTTGCAGGATCAACTTCACATTCTTGCAGAATATCCCTAAACAATATTTGTAAATTTGACTTATGTATATACAAAAACAATAAATTGTTTTAAAATATCAAGTGGAAAACAGTGAAGAACTATATGCTATGAATAAGTACATGCTATTAATTTCTTAAGAAAAACACATAAATACATATATACATACATAGATATTTTTATATTACAAAACTTAATAAACTAAGAGCATAATTTAATTTTTCAAAAAAAAATCATAGCAAACATTATAGAAACTTATTTCTAAAAAATATCTTTCTTTAAAAAAACTTAAAATAACAACCAAAAACGCTTTATTTGGTTTATTAATAACTAATGCAATGGCAAGTACATACATATGTGAAACAGTTTGTATACAAAACCATTTAAAATTTGTAAAATTAAATACAAGCCATGTAAAATAAAATAAAAACAAAAAAATAAATAATCAAACAAATTAGCTTACGTATTTTAGCAACAAATCGAAACAGACCATACACACCAATTCGATATTATTTGCAAAGCTAGTGTAAAATCGTTGAAATTTGAGAGCCAATGTATACTTCATACCAACTGCGCATAATCGCTATTCTTCTCTGTCTCGCTACCTTATTCAGCAATGCGCACCCGTTCACCATATGAGTATATACTGTGACATATGTAGCTGCAGTTAAAGAATTTCGTGCTGCTGTCAGATTTTCCAATTGACAAGCGCGGTGCCAATTTCTGTCCAAGTTTTTGTGTATTCTCTCTCTGTTATAAAATTGTGTATTTTTCTATAAGATTTTCTTCAACGAATACGCGATTAAATTGTTTATTAACAAATATTGCCATGACATACGTGTAAAAATGTAAGGAAACTTGGAGATGTACAACTAAATATTTGGCTAATATAAACAGTCGAAAAAAGTTACTACAGCAAGCGGTAGACAGGCAATCAACCAACCAAACGTCTTTGGTGACAGATTGAAAATCGATTTTTTCATGCCAGATTCATACAAAATTTTCGCTGCTCATCTATAGGACGTCGCTAAAAGTGGTTGGTAGCAAATTGGTGTAGATTTGTATATGCAATTTATTGAAAAATATCACATTTCATTTTGAATTGCATATACAATTCATAGTATTACATATACATATTTGTCGTTAACGCCCTTACCTTTGCAGCGTCCAGTAAAAATAAAAACACTTCTCTGCACCCGGCTAATAATGGAAAACTAGCGTTAAGTTAAAAAGTTCACAAAAAACTGCAACCAAATAAAATAAGTTTAGCAAAGTAGCACCAACAACATTTTGACTAAAATCACAGTAGCACAGAATCAATTGCGTTTGCAACATTTGTGGCTAAATCAATAATCCAACATTTCTACACCCGAGCCACGCATAACAACAAAATCGAAACAGACAGACGTTGCATTTGCAATTTTTTCGGTGTTTCAAAGAAATTCGTCAAACAAAGGTAAGAAATGTTACAAAAAAAAAAAAGAAATAATAAGGTCAAATAAGGACTATGCAGTAAAAGGATATGCCGCATTGCCCTCATAATAACAAAAAATATATGCAATTAATTTGTCAGTTTGTGCTCATAGGATATGTATGCATATGCATGTATGTACATATATAAAATACTGTATGTACATAGGGCGGCCGGCACGACAGCAAAATAGTCGTGCAGTCGCACGAAGAAACGGCGCCGACCTATGAATCCTACAGATACTAGCTATTCTTAAATTTTAGGGAATTTAGAATAAAGTAATAATGAGATGAAGCTGTTTTGGGAAACAGCGAAGAGGCAGTCTTCGATCGAATACTTGACAGCGTTAATATATTGTGTATTAGGCTTAATCGCAGCTGAGAATTTTGATAAAGTGTAATATTGATTTCTTATGCGCAACGATAATGCCACAGTGCACACAGAATAGTGTTTTGTGAGTGCAATGTTATTTTTTTTTGTGTTTGATATATTTAAATTGATAAATAGAACTTTTAAATATAAAATTAAATTTAACTTTGAAAATTTGATCTATGAGAAATTTTGTTAAAATATCCTCTCTAATAAAAAAATTTTGTATACAAGAACTCGATTTTAATCGTTCAGTTTGTATGGCAGTTATATATATGGTCCGATCTAAACAATTTCTTCAGAGTTTATACCGTTCCCTTGGACAAAAATCCGTGCCATGGCTAAATCGACTCAGCTCGTACCGCTGATCATTTATATTTATTTTTAATAGCCTCTCCGACGTTTTCTTCTGGGTGTTACAAAGTTCGCGGCAAACTTAATATATGTATATCCCGTTCAGTGTACAATTAACTAACAACAAACTATTGTATATCTATATGTATTTTTCTTCTTTTATTTAATTTTTTTTTTACTGTAAGTGGTGAAATTTTGGTTTTAAAACAACCCAACTGTGAAATTGAGTTTACAAAAATTATATGAAATTAATTAAAAAATATTTTTAAATAAGAAATTTATGTTTTAAAGTTAACCAATTTTTTACTTTATCCTCAACAGCATCCAAACCCAAATCAAATAGAGATACATCATCGTAGATCAAGTCAACCCATATTTATTTGCAACGAAAAATGAACGTGTGAATTGAAAACAACAACTTTAAAACACCAAAAACTTTATAACCGAAGAGTAAAAAATACAACAAAAAAAAAATAAACCAAAAGCAATGAGTTCCCGACATTACACCATCGAAGTGGGGGATACGAATTTCACAATTCTTAATCGGTATACAAATTTGAAACCGATCGGTTCGGGCGCTCAAGGCATAGTATGTGCCGCCTACGATACGGTGACCGAGCAAAATGTTGCCATTAAAAAATTATCACGACCATTCCAAAATGTAACACATGCCAAGCGGGCTTATAGAGAGTTTAAGTTAATGAAGCTAGTAAACCATAAGAATATTATTGGTTTACTTAATGCATTTACACCACAACGTAGCTTGGAAGAATTTCAAGATGTTTACCTTGTTATGGAGCTCATGGATGCAAATCTATGTCAAGTCATACAAATGGATTTGGATCATGATCGTATGTCATATTTATTATATCAAATGTTATGCGGTATAAAGCATTTACACCTAGCCGGCATTATACATAGAGACTTGAAGCCATCAAATATTGTCGTTAAAGCCGATTGCACATTAAAAATTTTAGATTTCGGTTTGGCACGTACAGCCGGTACAACATTCATGATGACACCATATGTTGTTACACGTTATTATCGTGCACCCGAAGTTATTTTGGGTATGGGCTATACCGAAAATGTAGATATTTGGTCTGTGGGCTGTATTATGGGTGAAATGATAAGGGGTGGTGTTCTATTTCCCGGCACTGATCATATTGATCAATGGAATAAAATTATTGAACAATTGGGTACTCCGTCTACATCATTTATGCAGCGTTTGCAACCAACTGTCCGTAATTATGTCGAAAATCGACCACGTTATTCGGGTTATTCATTCGATCGTCTATTCCCCGATGTACTCTTTCCAAATGATAATAATGAACAAAGTCGACGAAAGGCATCGGAAGCACGTGATTTACTTAGTCGTATGCTAGTGATTGATCCCGAACAACGTATTTCGGTTGAGCAAGCACTATTACATAGTTATATAAATGTTTGGTATGATGCTGAAGAGGTTAATGCACCAGCACCGGAACCATATGATCATAGCGTTGATGAACGGGAACATACCGTCGAACAATGGAAGCGACTTATCTATGAAGAAGTTATGGATTATGAGGCGCACAATACCAATGCGCCCGTAAATACTACACGGTAGACCCTGAATTAATTAAGGCATGGCATACTAATGCTTCTGAGCAACTCTTAATGTATATAAAATATAAGAACAATAAAAGCATTAATACTTTCAAAATAATAAAGTAAAACAAAATAAAAAAATATATATAAATAAAGTAAATAAACATAAAATATTAGAGATCAGCTTGTTTCGCCTCTCAATAACAAAACGATTCAAAATATATGTTATTATTTTGCAAAAGTGCATAACAAAAGCGGAAAGTGATTTTTTTCTAGTAAAGATATGATATTAAATTTGAAATGGCGAATGTAATGAAAAGAGTACAATACATACATAAATACATATTTCTAACAAGTGTTTGCTACATAAAAAAAATATAATTACGAGTATCACAAAAAAAAAAAAAGAAAATGGAAAAAATTATGGCCAGAACGTAGTAAGTGTAATACTTTATTGAATAATAAATAAATAAATATCCCCGATAACTTAAACATACAAGCGCAGCATAAGCTATTTATTGGGCACATGGCAAAGAAAGTGGGGATAATTTGAAAATAACAGCAAAACAAGAAAAAACATTAACTGCGGTTGATAGTTGATCTAACTGAAAAACAACGGTATTACAATTTTCGTTTTTTTAGGTATCGAACATTGTTAACTATGAAAAAAAAAATTCTATAGATATATATAGATCGAACCAGTCTACCAATATGTGTACATATAAATATATTTCCTTTCTAATTGATTAGCTATTAAAATACGTTTATAAGTAGTATGCTTAACTATTGTGTTTATTAAATTAGGTCGTAGAAACGTAGTATATAGTTTACATATCATAAATATGTATGCGCGTATACCCATTTCTAACTAGCTTTTTGTTTGTGGATCTATTTTTAGAACAAAACGTAGACATCGTAGAGAATTTTAAATTATGCAGTAGAAAATTTTTAGCAGCAGTCGTAGTCGAACTACTTTTGTATGTAAATATGTTTGCGAGATGCATTGAAGTGGAAGAGAAATTATACACAAGATTAGTGTAGATTATTGGAGGGTGAGTTTTGTAATAAATATACCGTTGCACATATACATATTTACATGTTTAGTATGTTAAACTCAATTGCCTGTATTCATGAGGTATAGTATCTTGTATGTGTATTTTGAGCACAAAAAAAGAATATTACAAATAATAAAATAATTTAGATTTACTACATATTTGAATTTTGTAAAGTTCAGTGGGTTATGGCTCTAATTAAAGATTGCTGGAGTAAGAAAAATGAGTGCGTTTCGTTGGAGATTTAAATTTGATTGATAATGTGTTAAAAAGAAAGCAGATATTAAAACGGACCATTAATTGCAAACATCAACTTTATGAAGGTGTAAAATACAATTTTCTAGTTTGCTATAGAAAAATAATATAAGTTCAAATAATATTTTTTCCTAAGGTTAATTCACAGTAATTGAAACGATATTTAGTTTGCAGGCATTGCAATACACACAAAGTTCAAATTATAGTCAGCTCCAAGAGGGCACCAAGAATTCAAAAAGCCTTTCTAAATACTATTACCACAAATGTACGTTTAACATTCACATTCGGTAACTTACAGTTCGAACGAAATTCAATGGCAGACGAACATTTATTAGAATATATTAGTAACTGAAGAATATTTTTCGAGTCTTTGCTATGCCTTGGAATAATATTTATAAATTTAACGGTACATTCTGCAGAAAAAGAGAATTCGATGATTATCTTTCTTTTTTTGAAGAACTTTTACTTTAAAACTTCACAAAATTGGTTGGTCCGTGGCGTCTGTTTGTTTTAAGGATCCAATGTTAGGTATGTATATACTTATAAGTTGTATTACACATTCGTTGGAATAGGGGTCAGACTACTATATAGGCACATATACTATACAACTATGCGCTCTTGCTCAATTCGAATTTTGTAAACTGTTTGGAAACTATTTGGTGCTGCTGAATAAATATTCGGAGGAATCGTATTGAATCTTGTATGATTGGCTATTATGCTCATGTTATAAGAATATCAAATAATTTGCATATCAATGCTAATTGTATACTCTCAAGAGTATATTAAACATTTAGCTTGCAACAAATACAAAAGTATTTACTAATTTACTTTTTAAATTGGCATATATTAATAATACTTACTTCAATTATGCTGTTGTATGTTCTAAAATCGTTTCTTGTGCTCTGATATATTACAAAATCGCTAAGAACACAATTTAATTTCACTTAAAAGCTTTAATAACTAAAACTTATTCACAACCACTTTTGGCAGCTTTATTCAATGCATTTTGCAATTGCACATAATATGTACACATAACACTTAAAATACATTTTCACGTCTTTAACACATATTCACTTGCACATTTTGACAGAAAAAGCACTAAAATACATATTTTTCACTGTTTTAGAAAATTTTTACTTACTATTCAGAAAAAATAGCGAGTAACTGTTTCTCTTGTGGCGGAAGATGCAACTGATCATTAGTTAGGGTTGCCAACTAATCTTTATGCAATTGCATAATTCATACTTAGCAGGAACCGGAACACATATTTTCGTTCAAATGTAAATTTATTTTTTTATTTAAAAAGAAAGTGTCTAAAAAGCGTAAGTCGTTTGTAAAAATTTATAAAGATAGGAAATTAAAAATTTTAGATAAACATAAGTCATTACAAAAACACATATTTGAATATAAATATTTACATTTACAAATAGTTATAAAGTTAGGAATGATAAACTAGATATACTTTATTATTTAGCGTAAGCATTATTTTCTGTTGGTAAAAAGTCAGAAAAAGTTATTTATTTAATTTTGTATTAAATTTATTATTATATTTTTATAAATGGTTGTACATATATGTGTATATATTTTTATAAATGGTTGTACATATATATGTATATATTTTTATAAATGGTTGTACATATATATGTATATATTTTTATAAATGGTTGTACATATATATGTATATATTGCTGCATATTTCATTTGTATATTTTACCTCAATAATATACATATGTGTGTAAAATATTTTTAATCCATAGAGAGAACGTATATCATACGATCTCTGATACATATTGTACCAGAGAACGTATATTATATATGTATGATATATTATATATGTATGATATACGTTCTCTGCTTTCGCCAGCTATTATAACAGTTTAGCACCCACTGCCACATTGGCTTTCAAACACTAATTGGTTGTAAACACTACTTAGTGGTTTATATTTTGCTGGATTTCCATTTACGTTCTTTATTATTTAGCGTAAGTGGATTTCCATTTACGTTCTCTGATATTATATAGTGTGCCTAGCAGATTTTCTGTTTTTAAATCCGACCTTACTAGTACCAGATACAATATTTTGCAAAATATTTAGAATTGAAAATTAACTTTAAGGTTTTTCTGTATAAGCCACTAAGGGATAAATGAAAGTAATACGGCAGCTGTCAAACTTTTTAGCCATTCCAAGTCAGCTGTTGCTGGAAGAAAAACGAAAAAATTATCTCTAAAGTCACATCCGTGTCGTTATTCAAATTTGTTAAAATTTAAATAATAGTGGTGAATTTAGGTAATATATACAGTTATAAGTTGGTAATTACATAGTGTGCGGGCATAAGTGTTTAAGTGCAAGTTTAAGTAATCAAAAGAGAAACTACCAAATTTCTCCGTGTGCTATACTAAATTTGATGGTAATATAATCTAGAATCTTCTAAAAGAAGTTAGAAATTTTATGGCAAATATGTATATTAATAAATAAAAAGTTATTTGTTAGAAATCTAACATAGTCCTTTATTAGTGATGCAAAGCCAATATAATTCTCATTAATCAATTTTCATGCATCGACTTTGCACCACTAATAAAGGGCGGTCTCGGGTTGTTGCAAATATTTAATGATCTTTTCAATAAGCTAACAAATCATGAGCTTGCTTCAGGTGAGTGCTTTTTATTTTAATATATTGGTATTATAATTTTATTTTAAATATTTCTTATTTTTGTACGCGTTTTTTGACATTTTGCGGAGTGCAAGAAGAATATTACTGCCTTATACTGTCGGAAAACTGTTGATATTTACATAAAAACACAAAAATTACCTGGACGATGGATATAAATGAATGTTTACTGCCAATGCAGCCGTGCTTTGCTTGATTATTTAAGCTGCTGACTCTACGGCTTTTTATTTCTATGCGAGTATTTACACAGCTGTTAGAACAGAAGTCTTACGATAAGCGTTTTTGTTGAAAATACAAGAAAACACTTGTAGTAATGGGGACAGTTTATTATAAATCAGTGAAAAATGTGCTTAAACTCAGATATATGTAAAAAAAAATTATACGTGTATTCTAGTAATCAGTCAAGCTAATTTGAAAAATGTTGTTTTGATAAAAACACGTTTTGAGATAAATTGATGGAGCTGATTGAACTGAGCAGCTACACTTTAGAAAGCTGTAACTCAAAATCTATCGAAATATGAAAAAATCGATATTTTTAATTTTCACACTAGGTAGCACTTAAGATTACAATTTCGTTTTGTAATTTTACTTGTAAAAAAAAGGCTATAAAACACACTTTATAGCTACCAAAAAATCAGCTTACAACTCTAGTATATATGGAAATGTATGATATAAAGATAAACGGAAACTTTTTATGCATTTCCATTCAACATTTTCATTTCTGAATAAACAAAAGCACAGGTAAATGACAACAATATTGGAACTGCAAAAACAAATAATTCAACTTTTTTTAAATAAAATCACACGTTTACTTTATTGCATGAACAGTCGCCGTGTAAAAACTGAGGCCTCAGTATCAGCGCGCTTAATATGAATTTCTTAATATTTACTATATTTTTAATAGTATACATTTTCAACGCTGCCGCCCAGCCTTGTATACCGCTAGGTGAGTGTGAAATTCTAGAGAAAAAAATTATATACTTATTATTTACATGATATTAATTTTTTTTTTTGTTTGGAACTCTAATTTAGTTTTAAATTATTTTTTAATATTTCTAAAAAAAATTTTTTTTTGATTTTGCTAAATATTTTTTTTAACATTTTTCAAATTTCAACACAATTTGTTTTATTTTAATTTTTGTATATATAATATAATTATAAATTATTTCTAAAGGTTTCAAACATTTTTTTTTAAAATTACTCAAATCTCAACATATTTTTTGTAGCCGATTCTACATGCACCGAAGCAGCTAATTCAGGCACAACTGGACCCGGTTGTTTGGCAGGCACTAGATGGTCGTACGATGCAACAACCAGGCAATGTACTGCCTTTACTTATCAAGGCTGTGGTGGAAATACGAATCGTTATTGTTCGCGTGTGGTGTGTGAACGCAGATGTGCTGCCCCTCCGAGAGTTGTTGTTGGTTGAATAAAGAAATGCTTAAACTTTGCTTATAAATGTACTTGCCTTCGACACTCATATTAGCTCATACTAAGTATCTGTAGCAAAATTACTTATTTAGTGAAACCCGAGAATTGAAATGTTCTCTCATTACTAAATCTTTTCAATTGACACTATTTTCCTATCTCATAAAATACACGTTATCTAAACTGATCGGAAAAATCCATTTCGTGGATCTTCTGTTGTCTTATAATATAATGTAGATGAATGAAGTTTGTGACACCCAGAAGGTTTCGATACCCTATAAAATATGTACATATGTATATATAAATTATCGGTCTGATAAGCTGAGTCGATTTAACCACCCCCGTGCGTCTTTATATGCGCAATTTAATCACTTAGAATTTGTGATATAGATCTTTTTTACACACGTCCTTTTCTCTCGAATAAGCTGCTTGTTTGCCGGAACTGCCGATATCAGACTACTATAGCATATAGCTGCCATACAAACTGACCATTCAAACTCAAGTCCTTGTATGGAAAACGTTCTTATTTGACGAGATATCTTCACGAAATTTAGCATAGACTATTATCAAAGGCAACGCCACAATCTCTGCACTAATTTTTTCAGATCGGATTACTATCACATATAGCTGCAATACAAACTGACTGTTCAAAATCAAAATAAAGATTTTTATACCCTTTTTTCGTACACTCCTGCTATAAGAAATGCTAACGTTTTTTATAGTTTTAAATGTTAAACTGAGTCAGATAGCTTAGCCAAGTCGGTAGCGGTAATTTTAAAGAATCGTTTAAAGAGTCGGTATGCTTAACCTAAATCTATAGCTCGAGCGTAATAAGGCTATAATCCTTCATTAAAGTCCATACATGTCTATAGCATAATGACTACTATTTTTATTACTCATTTCCAACACTTCCGTGCTTTGTGATTCCAACTTCTCGGATTCCGTATTAGACACATATATAGGTACATCTAACCTTACATAAGTCCGATACAACTTGTATATATGGTGGTTATTCTTCTGCATATAGTACATCTTAAAAGTGAAATGTATAAGAAGTGGTTATTTAGGAATCGTAAACTAAAGATAAGTGCTTCTATGTTCCTATAGAGATCAAACAACATAACCTACAGTGGTCTGGATATTTATTGTGCATCATCATTGAAGTAACATTTCGTTATATATTAATTTTGTCGCATGACACTTTTTATGTAGTAAATACCCGACAACGCTGCTGACATGCAAATTCTGTACAATAACGATTCGAATTACCGCCACAGCCCCAATAAAAGAAGGTTTCACAGCGGCGAGATCCGGTATTGTAATACCATCGGACGCCACCATTGCAGCTGGCGCCATTGTAGCCCGGGTTAACTGGCTCGCTGCATCTCGGAAAATCTATTATATAATGATGGAAATTAGATTTTCAAATAATTTTACTTTTCAAAATGTACTTACTAAGTGGTGCACATTGCTGAGCATGCGCATTAAAGTTAACGAGAATTAAAAAGAAGGAACAGCAGAAAAATATTAAGAATTTATCTACGGCGAACATAGTGAAAACTTTCAAGAGTTATACTTGTACAAAACTGTCTACTGACAAAAGACAGCAGAAGGCTTTTATAGCATTGTGGTTATTTTTTTTTTTTATTGACATATATTATACATAAATAATAATAATGATAAAAATAATTTTCAGTGAATGCAGCTATTGAAAGAAGCAAATGTAAACTTAGTATTGTTATTATTATTTATGGTAAATGCATATTTTCATATTTTTTAAAAACACGTGTGCGCTTAGTGAGTTTCAACTCTTTGTATATATTTCTTTTTTCACTTCTCTTGTTGTTTTGTGTAGGTTCGCACGTAGGTTTTTTGATCCTATATGTGTCGGTTGTGGTTCTTTCGTGGTTCTAAGACTGGTTGGGATCTTATTGTTGGCGTTGAGAACAATAAGGGATAGTTTTTATTATCGGTTATATCATTGTTTTAGATATTGTCCTTACTACAAATACATGAAACAGTATTGTGTCAACGGAAGAGGAAGTTGGAAACGTTCCAACGATAGTTGACTCCATGTATCAGACTTCATATATATATTCTAATTGTATTCGTGCGATGAAGTGATGGCGTAACTTGGTAATTAGTCGAGTCATCCAATCTTCCGAACATGTTTTGGAAAGCTGCTGTCCTTGCACACATTTTTCAATATTATTAATTTTAAGTATAAACAAAAATAGTTTTTTCCACTCAAGTATATTGAACTTTATGTCTGAAAAAGTGTTTTTTCGCGGAGTTCTTCTTCATTACTTTAATAGAAAACTTGAGCCGAAAGTCATCATATTATAGTGGCAGTGGCGTTCGTTGCCTTGGCGTGACGAAGGGAGAACGGCCAAGACTCCCAGCCAGGAGACGATTAAGAGTGCTCCCGGATGTACCAGCCGAATATGCCGGAGAACACAGCAGTGAATACAGTGGGTACCAACCATAGTACCCACAGCATTAATATGAACTTATAGACGCCAACTTCACCTCACCAAGCACCATACAGGAGAGATAGGTGGATATCGACGTCAGATTGTCGAGTCTAGTTTTAAGCGGAGTTTGACCGTTCCAAAACCCTCAGCAGTTACAGGGTCATCAAATGCGCGGACCAAGCATCCTTGGATGACTTGACGTGTAGTTTCGCTAAAATTAGCGACGCCTTTGAAGGCCTCAAATTGAAGTTTATACCCATCAAGGTTATTCCAAGGAGACCTCGTGCTCGCATTTGGCTGTCCCCTTTGGAAGTGTCAGGCGAAAAGCTGCTGAGATGCATCAAGCCACAAAATAAATCAATACCAGGTAGCTGATAGAGCAAGTAAGCCCATACTAATGGCCATCTGCGAGGAGTCGGAGGGGCTCTATCGAATGCTGATAATAAAAATCAGCTTCGGTATCCGCAAGGCTAGACGACGCCAGCCAGTTGCTACGTTTCCATACACTTGTTATAAGTCTCCGCTGGGATGGTCTTGACACGCTTTATACCCAAAATATTAACCAAAATGTTAAGTCGATCCACCAGGGGTGTTTACGGCAGATCCTCTGCTATCTCTCTAATGCCAATAAAATGATTTCCAAGCATAATGTTTTTTTTTTAAGTTTTTCCATGTTATCGCCTTTAACAGAACTAGTCAAATTTGATCAGATGGTGTCTACGAAATAAGTGCGTCACATTAAAACATTTTTTTATGTTGACTCCTGTGAAAAATAGCAAGTCGTTTTTTTACTGCCCAACACAAGTTCTAGTGCTAGAAGTTTTCATTTAATTAGTTACATAAACTCTCAGAATAGCTTCTGATCAAAGTTCTCGAGTCATTTAAAGTCCTCAAAGTAATTTTACTTCCCTACTAAGATCCAAACATTCTTGAAAGTTCTGATATTTAAACTAAGAAAAAAAGAAACTTGATTTATATTTGCAATGTTATTATTTTATTATTCGAGATCCGATCAATTACATTTGGTTTCTTTTTACTATTATTCACAGTAATTTTGACAGGCTGCTAGCGAACAATAACGGTTCGAGTTACCGCCACAGCCGTTATAATGGAAACTGTAGCATGAATCAGCTGCATAGTTGTAATACCATCTGGTGCCACCGTGGCAACCATGACCGCCGTGACCGCTATGATAGCCACCCGAGCAGCTATAGTAATCTGTAATAGTCAATATTATATATTATCTGTTACAAAAATAAATATTTTTTTTTCTTACTTGGCGCATTCGGGCATTGTGCCTGAGTTTGTCCAAGGAATAGGAAGATCGACAGTACTAAAAAGCAAGCGAGGAACTTCATAGTGATTTATTAAATTAGTTTAAGTAGTTTGTGTCAGAAACTGATACTTTACCAATACAAGAAGTTGCTTTTATACCGAAAGCTACAATATCGGAAAATAATAGTTTAAAATTTCACTGTTTCCACGTGTAAATTTAATTCGTATTTTTTATTATTATATTTCTATTGTTTTTGTATAAATAGCTTTCCATCTGTTTTATTAAAAGAATACTTGTATATTTTTGTATAACACGAAAAAGTGTGTTGCTACAAAAAAGTGGAACTACGGTTCCCACAGGGTGTATAGAAGCAAAGAATTTATCCATCACTTCCTATACTCTACGCATACAATTATTATACAGAGGAAGTAACTTCTAGAAAAATGCTATGAACTGAATCTAAGAATTTCGTAGGCTTAGCGGCTCTAAAAAACTAGGATAAGGTTTGTTTTTTGGCCACGCCCATTCATTACAGTCGTAAGCTTATCATTCTTACTTGAAATTATTCAGCGGCTCGAGGACTTCAAGCATGATGTCCCAACCATTTCGGAGCCAGTTGACTCCAAGAAAAGTAATATCAATGAATAATATCTAGTCTCCATATTAGCTGCACAGGGTGTTTGTGCAGAACTGTTGGCATTTAAGTCGAGTTTCATGCAAGTATATCGGGTAAAAGATTTTGAATGTTTTACAATGTCATTCCAGATGATGATACCCCTCAAAAAGCTTTTTATATTCTCGCAACATGTTGCTAGAGAATGTAATAGTTTTTGCACCAAATGGTAATGAAGAAAGCTAATGTAGATACATATGTATATAACGGGTATTTTTTTAGAGGTATAAAACTTTAAATTGCAATAAAACAACGATGGATTATCCGATTGACATAAATTTTATTTATCCGAAAGATAATCTTGTGGCATTACATTTTATATATGATTTGTGGCTGGTCATCATGGTTGTTCAATTCAAGAATGAAAAAGTTAGTAATCATGGCTCTATACCGATCACCATTGACTGTAACGTTCTGGCCATCATCGTTTTTGAAGAAGTACGGACCAATGATTCCACCAGCCTATAAAGCGCACCAAACAGTCAGTTTTTCTGAATGTAACGGTGTTTCGACATACACTTGAGGATTAGCTTCACTCCAAATGCGGCAGTTTTGTTTGTTGACGTAGCCATTCAACCAGAAGTGAATTGAAGAATTGCCAAACCAAACTGAGAATAAATCACTTGACAGCTATTAAATCGGTCGCCATCTTGAACAGTAATGCCAACTTAAAGTTCTATACCTCGAAAAAAACACCCGTTATAATGAATAGGATGACTAGACGAGAAGCTGAGAACAAGTCTCCCACTTCCCAAAAAACGCGTGGATTAAAAACCACTAAAAGTGCGATAACTCTGGTATCGTAATAGGAAAATGTTCGTGACATTTAAATAAAATACTAATGAAGATATCGAAATAAAACTCTGCCCGGATAGTGCCTTCTAAGTAGTCTGTCTCACGCCTAAAAATTGTCGAAATCGGACTATAACTTTTCAAGTCCCCAGATACCAAAAATATGTGGGCTTCAATGTTTTACCGAAGGGATCGGCCAATCTGAGAGATAAATTATTGAAATTCACAGAGTATATTTTCCTAATAATAATGTAGCCTGATGTCAAAAATGAGTAAAATCAAGCCCATAAGAAGATCAAGTTCCGACGATCTCCAAGTATTTCTTTAGTTCTTATTCTTGTTCGCTTGGTTTCGACAATTCAGGTTTTTCGAGCATATATTTAACAGGGGACCATATTGAGACATACCCATACTCCCAAGAATATTGTAAAAGCGAGTAATGTTCGAAAACGCTTATAAAAACTTTACTGACTCGTACAAAGAAAATATTTTTATATAGATAGATTGATAATTGGAAATAAATGCATAGCGAAGTATATGAAAAATTTACGATGGTACAATGGAAACCCACCTAGTTTAAAATTACAGAAAGTGAAGTAGTTCCCTAACGATTAACAGTTATAGGTGTACATGGTGATGATGTTATATTATGTTTACAAATGGATTCGTTTGAAACTCACATATTTAGTAAAAAAAAATGAAGGGTATCGATTCATCTGATTTTTATTGCCTCGGTTGCCCATTAAGTGGCTACCTTAGACTATAAGCGTGATAGCATATTGAAGCTGAGTATATACTTGTATGTTGTCCTTTTCTCAAAGTAAGCTTCTATAGAAAATGGAGCATCGGCTAATAAAATTATCTATAAAGAGTACAGATTTTCTAGGCTATATGGTATACATAGATATTTTATAATATGGAATGCTTCCAAATTTGGATACTTAGATATTACTGATTATTATTTTTAAACGGGACTTTTAATCGTGAGCATTATTAAATGTTCTAGAGTTTTATTATCATTCGAATACGGATTTTTTATAACAATAGAGTGCTGTGGACTATGCCGATTAATCGGTCGAACGTACTATATAGTCCTCAGTATCAAGCAGTAGTGATCAGATGATGTAAAAATCCATATTTAGTTATATTTGAATACATCTTCAAACTTTACAACTATTTACCGTTAAAAATGACTACAAAATTAATAAGAGTTGCAAAATGTTAAGATATTTATTTTATATTGATATATCGATAACTTGTTTGACATATACTTGTATGACTTGAAAGCAAACTTATTAATCTAAATTGTTAACCACGGGAATAACATCTCCGTTGACAGGCACTAAAAGAACAATAACGGTTCGCATTACCGCCACAGCCATAGTAATAGAAGCTGGCACAACTCCTAGTGTTCCAATTGTAATACCATCTGGTACCACCGTAGCAACCGGTACCACCTCTACCGCTGTTATAGCCACCCGAGCAGCTGTAGAATTCTGCACAGACGAAACATATATATTTGTGTTAGATATATATAATATTATGTACTTGTATATACAATATATACAGTATTTGGTTACATTTATATTTTTGATTTGTTTTCTGGCTTTTACTTACGTGGCGCATTCGCACATTGCGCTTGAGTTTGTCCGAGGAAAAGAAAGACAGCGAAAACTAAAAAGCAAGCGAGGAACTTCATATTGGTAGCTTGTTATTGAGTTGTTGTGATTTCTGTAACTGATAATTTTTGTAGGGTCACAGGTAGCTTTTATAGCGAAAAAATCTGTTTAATAAACAATTGTTTACAAAAAAGGAATTGGCAGAAATTCCGGGTGTTCATTATTATCTCATATATTTACATATCTGTTAATGAAACAGATGTTTAGCTTAAACCCAGATGTCTTATTTCGTTAAAACCCATTTTTTTAATGTTTAAAAAAATATTGTTTAAAATTTATTCTTTGTATTGCAGTTGAAATGAACAATTGGCAAGCTCTGTAAAGTTTCTTTATTCGGTATCTTTAGAAGCTTACCTCTCCGACCCTTAAAGTCTTTTGCTGAAGATTTATATATTTTTAATTTTTCTCTATTGAGAATAAAATCAGGTTTAAGCTTGTCATCGTGAATGTCCTACCAACTTCAGTCAAATGAATATCGAAATACTTTAAGCCATAACGCGCTTTTTTGAGAGCTTATACCTATTATAACTTATTGAATATGAAGTTATTTGACAGTTCAGTTGGCCATGGCAGTTATTATTTGATATTTATAGCTCCTTCTCAGCTATATAGTCGCAGTGTTGCGTATACGTAGACGTTGTAATAATAGTCCAAACATTTTCGATGAAGTTCAAGTCTGGATTTTTAGCTGATCATTCATTTAATAGCGTAGAGCGAGAGAAAATACTACTTTGTTGGCTTTGGCATGTGAATTTTGTTACTGTGCTGTCGAAACGTAAACTTAACTTGAACGTTTTCTCAATATTCAAAAGGCAAATCATTCAAATTTTTCTAATATTTTTTTTGGTACATCTAAGTAGTAAGTTTCGGCTTACGTGGCAGAAAAACTTACCTCATATCATAACTTATCCACTCACGGAGATTGTAGAAGTATTACCACTGAAATTGTATTACTCTCACGTCATTTCAACGAACTTTTATTTGTCAGAAAAAAATAAATTAAATTGGTCTAGTTATGTATTAAAATTTAAGTCTGCCACTTAAGGGCAAGTCAAGTGTTTTTGAAAACCTTTTCTACGTTAAATTTTCGTCGATTCATAAAATCTTTTTTACTTTTCGTTTTTACAAGAATATTTTCGAAATTTATCCGTGGCAACCATGTCCGCCGTGACCGCTATGATAGCCACCCGAGCAGCTATAGTAATCTGTAGACGAAAGTAGTCAATATTACTTGGCGCATTCGGGCATTGTGCCTGAGCTTGTTCAAGGAATAGGAAGATCGACAGTACTAAAAAGCAAGCGAGGAATTTCATAGTGATTTATTAAATTAGTTTAAGTAGTTTGTGTCAGAAACTGATACTTTACCAATTCAAGAAGTTGCTTTTATACCGAAAGCTACAATATCGAAAATAATAGTTTAAAATTTCACTGTTTCCACGTATAAATTTAATTCGTATTTTTTATTATTATATTTCTATTGTTTTTGTATAAATAGCTTAACATCTGTTTTATTAAAAGAATATATTTTTGTATAACACGAAAAAGTGTGTTGCTACAGAATACGCGTGAACTAAGTGGAACTACGGTTCTCACAGGGTGTATAGAAGCAACGTCTCATGCAACATATGATCCGCCAAGAATTCTACATTCCCCGACTTAAGCGCCAAATAAAGAAGTGCATTTTCTTGTGCAAAATCTGTACCACGCACAAGCAAAAGATGCGAACACAGATTATGGCAGCACTTCCTCCGGAACGCTGCAACTTTGCTCTGCCTTTCTCCATCACAGGTGTCGATTTTGCTGTGCCTTTTCAAATAAAGGCGTCCATGTTAAGGTCTCCCACTCTGATGAAAGGCTATGTGGCTGTTTTTGTCTGTTTTATGAAAAAACCAGTGCACCTTGAGCTTTGTTCTAATCAGACGAAGTAGGCTTTCCTTGCGGCATTTGCTCGCTTTGTCGGTCGACGCGGTTTTCCATCGAAGATAATGAGCGATAATGGTAAAACATTTATCGGCGCTCAAAGAGCCACCGAAAAACATTTTGTGGACTTTATCAAACAAGTCTCACCTGAGATTGTACAAAAGTACGCGCCCCAAGGCATTAATTGGCAGTTTATCCCCCCAATCGCTCCTCATATGGGTGGTTTATGGGAATCAGCTGTAAAAAGCTTCAAATCCCACTTCAAAAAAGTAGCTGGAAATTAAAAATTCAATTACGAAGAGTTCACGACATTATTAATTCGAATTGAAGCCGTTCTCAATTCACGGCCTCTTACAATCCTCTCGCAAGATCCCTCCGATTTTACAGCCTTAACTCCAGGGCACTTTCTCAAAGGAACACCCATTCTGGCCATACCTGAGCGGTGGAGTCGCTATCCTTATTAAATCGCTGGGAAAGAATTTCTCCTCATTTCAGCCGTCGATGGAAAGAAGAATACATAAAGGATCTCCATAAACGATACCGTTGGAAGACTCCTGAACAAGCACCAAAACTTGGAGATTGTGTGCTCGTCCATGATGATTGTCTACCTCCTACCGAATGGCGGCTTGGGCGCATAGAAAAGCTACATTACGGCTCCGACGGTCACATACGAGTGGTTGATCTTCATACGCAAAGCGGAATGCTAACCAGACCGCTCGTAGATGCTTTCTCCACCGCCGATAATAGCAACACAGTCATAAACCGATACTACCGCATACATTAAAATAATCAAATCAAGAAGAAAAAAACCGAAAAACTCGTTAATAACCGTTAAAACCAATAACTAATAAAAAGTGGTCGATCAATACGACGACCCATTCATGCCACATACCGTGGCACGATCATCCATATCCTTTATATGACAAATCTGCATAATTACACCACTCTTTCATACAGATTAACATGGATGTGGATACGCCAACTACTCCCACGCCAACTGTGCGGTCGGCTACCCACGTGTCACGCACGGGGCCTACTCCAACGCCCCGATCTGCACCTGCAACGACACCGATGTCAGCACCAGTTCCTCGTGGTGGCATGCGACCGCCACCGACCCTATCATCACGACCATCAGAGGTACATCGTATACGATGTCCCATATGTCGGCGCCCACACCGCCTGCAACATTGTGGGATTTTTCGAAGTATGCAGCCCCTTCAACGCCAGCAGGTTGCCCAAGCGCACGGGCACTGCCTCAATTGTTTGGCTACGGTCCACACGACTCCGGAGTGTACGTCGGTTACGCTTTGCCAACTGTGCAATCGACCGCACCATACCCTGCTGCACCGCACCCCAAAACGGGCCGTCGGGCGACAACTCTCCCCGATCCGTAGATCGCAGCAGAGCAGCCATCAGGATCGCCCCCGAAGACAGGCAGCTCCACCTCCCTCCAGACCAAGGCGACAGGAGGCATCAACGCGGCGTCGGCAGCCCAGGCCAACATACCGCCTCTCCACTGGCCTCAGCAGCGTTGTTGCCACGCTGCAGCAACTACAGCGGTTGCTAGGCTAAAATCGCCTAGGGGGCCGGGAGGCTAGATGAGTTACGCCTCCCCTCTCCATACGCGCCACTGAGCGCCAACACACCACATCAACACGATCCACAAGAAGACTCCACCCACTAACACACACCACCCCTGCAGACAACACACCCGCAGACATCACTACATCATGCACCAACACGTACACAAATACAACACCAAATCGATCACACGACCATGAAGCCATCACAATGTATAAAAGGGACCAACGAAGGATCCCGTACGCTTCTTTTAGCATTCGACTCGCAAGCGATTTGACCCTTTTTTCGATCGATCGCCGTCGTCTACGCATCATCCGAATCCTGTTCTGCGCCACCCGGAAATATATCGTTTTTCACATCATTTTAAACAACCTTATAGTTTCAAAGAATAATAAAATTTCAAGTTGGAAAATCCTTTATACATTTTATATCAAATTTGTGCTTTTTTTTATTCGGAAACAAGTAAAAATGGTGAGTGTTTTGGTGCTACTTAGTACTAAACTAAATTCAAAGAATTTATCCATCACTTCCTATACTCTACGCATACAAATAATATACAGAAGAAGTAACTTCTAGAAAAATGCTATGAACTGAATCTTAGAATTTCGTAGGCTTAAAGGCTCTAAAAAACTAGGATAAGGTTTGTTTTTGGCAGTCATCCATTACAGTCGTAAGCTTATCATTCTTACTTGAAATTATTCAGCGGCTCGAGGACTTCAAGCATGATGTCGCAACCATTTCGAAGCCAGTTGACTCCAAGTAAAGTAATATCAATGGATATATACCTAGTCTCCATATTAGCTGCACAGGGTGTTTGTGCAGAACTGTTGGCATTTAAGTCGAGTTTCATACAAGTATATCGGGTAAAAGATTTTGAATGTTTCACAATGTCATTCTAGACGATGATACTTCTCAAACAGCTTTTTATATTTAATAGGTGTGACACTGCCCATTTTTAGGTGAAGTCTTATATCTCAGCAACATCTCGCTCAATTTCAAAAACAATATTTGGTGCATGACATAATATTTGAATTCTTATGTAACTAGGCCTATTTCCATATATCACACTTTTAAATTCCATATGATTTTTTAACTTTAGAGTATACTATAAGTATAAATAAAATACTAATGAAGATATCGGAATAAAACTCTGCCCGGATAGTGCCTTCTAAGTAGTCTGTCTCACGCCTAAAATTGTCGAAATCGGACTATAATTTTCAAGTCCCCAGATAAAAAAATGTGGGCTTCAATGTTTTACCGAAGGGATCGGCCAATCTGAGAGATAAATTATTGAAATTCACAGAGTATATTTTCCTAATAATAATGTAGCCTGATGTCAAAAATGAGTAAAATCAAGCCCATAATTCCTCTGGCTTCTATATACATAATATACGATTTCAGTTTGACTTTGTCGTCACAGAGATCGCCTCTATCTGATAACAGTGTACCCCTGTGTAATAACCAAAGATAAAGTAACTTTAAAGAATTCTTTCCCAGAAGGGAAGATCAAGTTCCGACGATCTCCAAGTATTTCTTTAGTTCTTATTCTTGTTCGCTTGGTTTCGCCAATTCAGGTTTTTCGAGCATATATTTAACAGGGGACCATATGAGCATACCATACTCCCAAGAATATTGTAAAGCGAGTAATGTTCGAAAACGCTTAAAAACTTTACTGACTCGTACAAAGAAAATATATTTATATAGATAGATAGATAATTGGAAATAAATGCATAGCGAAGTATATGAAAAATTTACGATGATACAATGGACATTCACCTAGTTTAAAATTACAGAAAGTGAAGTAGTTCACTAACGATTAACAGTTATAGGTGTACATGGTGATTATGTTATATTATGATACAAATGGATTCGTTTGAAACTCACATATTTAGTAAAAAAATGAAGGGTATCGATTCATCTGATTTTTATGCCTCGGTTGCCCATTAAGTGGCTACCTTAGACTTAAGCGTGATAGCATATTGAAGCTGAGTATAATACTTGTATGTTGTCCTTTCTCAAAGTAAGCTTCTATAGAAAATGGAGCATCGGCTAATAAATTATTATAAAGAGTACAGATTTTCTAGGCTATATGGTATACATAGATATTTATAATATGGAATGCTTCAAATTTGGATACTTAGATATTACTGATTATTATTTTAAACGGGACTTTTAATCGTGAGCATATTAAATTTCTAGAGTTTTATTATCATTCGAATACGGATTTTTTATAACAATAGAGTGCTGTGGACTATGCCGATTAATCGGTCGAACGTACTATATAGTCCTCAGTATCAAGCAGTAGTGATCAGATGATGTAAAAATCCATATTTAGTTATATTTGAATACATCTTCAAACTTTACAACTATTTACCGTTAAAAATGACTACAAAATTAATAAGAGTTGCAAAATGTTAAGATATTTATTTTATATTGATATATCGATAACTTGTTTGACATATACTTGTATGACTTGAAAGCAAACTTATTAATCTAAATTGTTAACCACGGGAATAACATCTCTGTTGACATTCACTAAAAGAACAATAACGGTTCGCATTACCGCCACAGCCATAGTAATAGAAGCTGGCACAACTCCTAGTGTTCCAATTGTAATACCTGTTACCACCGTAGCAACGCGGTCCACCTCTACGCTGTTATAGCACCGAGCAGCTGTAGAATTCTGCACAGACGAAACATATATATTGTTTTTAGATATATATATAATATGTACTTGTAATATAATATATACAGTATTTGGTTACATTTATATTTTGATTTGTTTTCTGGCTTTTACTTAC